CCCTAAAAGTGCACTCAAAATTGGAAAATTGCTGCTGAGTTACGATGGGGGAGAAGGATTGTCCTGTGGTGGAGGTGATGATAGGAGATCCCCGGGGTAAGAGGGGAAGAGAATATGGGTTCTGGCTCTCAACCAGTAACTTCTGTTCCTTAGCATTATAACGAGGCACGTTTCTGCTGGATAGGCATAGATGAGAGCTCTGTGTGCAGAACCATGTGTGCAGCTTCTGGTCCAGTGAGCAAACCAGGGCACTGGTCCAAGCGTCGCCATGTGATGTTTTTGCTAGTCGAAAGTCAGCTGTGACCTCTTTCTAATTTTTGCTTTAGGAAAGTTTGTTTACTTGGGACATGGATATGAGTAGTTTTTTCTCCTGCTGTGTTTTTTGGTGGGGGATAAAGACTGCTGTTGACTGTAGTAGTTTATTTCCTGCTTTTGTAGGCTACAGTGCCTTGCAGATGTTACACTTTCTCTTCCTCTTGGGGTTGGTAAATACAGTCTCTGCTCTTGCAGGAAACTCAGTTACTTGAATATTTGATAAAACATTTGCAGCTATTGAATTGTGTACAGCTAACGTTTCCTTTCTCCTCCTGTAGTCCTTGATTATGGTGTTTGCCCACTTGGTTCACTCCCAACTGGAACCACTCCTAGAGTTCCTGTGTAGTCTTCCCGGACCAACTGGCAAGCCTGCCTTGGAGTTTGTGATGGCGGAATGGATGAGCCGGCAGCACTTATTCTACGGGCAGTATGAAGGCAAAGTCAGGTAGGATGTTTCCATAAGCAGGAGCCGTACCTTAACGTTAGCTGACTGATCATCCGTGCAAATTAAATCCCTGGGCATGAGGGAAAGGGGAGCTGGTTCAGACTTGGGTTAGTGTGTGCCAGCATTGGACAATTCATTTTTTCCTGCACTGTCAGTTCAGCTCAGGAGAGCTGTGGTAACTGGGGCAATCTCTGATCTTCCTTGGAGTGCTGTTGCTATTTGTTGCGACGGAGGGAAGACCAGGACGCTCAATATGAGTGATCAACAGGCTTCGTCTTTATTGCTAAACAATACTACATTTATAATCGCTTTAATTAGCTCATGCATATTGCAAAAGGAAAGCTCATGATTGGTTGATATATTTGAAATCAATTTCTCCCCTGGGTCCTATCTGCGGTTACCTTCTCCCTTCTGCTGTACCTTATCTATCTGCAGGCATCCTGTTTGTTTGTAGACATCTGGAAAACAGGATGTTCTTCCCAAGTTCTCTTTTAGCTAGGTGGCCAATGTCTGCGTGGCCTCTCTCAGTTAACTATTCTTCCACAGAGTGCCCCTCGTGCTGCCTGGTGTTTCTGTGCCGGAACAGGGGACCCCGAGGGGGAAGGGGGTGTCTCTTGCAAGCACAGGAGTTCTTTTGAGAAGGAACTTCTGTGAGTGGGATGAGAATAGCTTCCAGATGTGAGATTGCCTTTAGAGACTACGGTAGAGTTTCAGGGCATTGTAGAGGGTTTCCTAAAATAATCTGATTATTTCTGTAATAATTCTGATTAGTAATTTAATGATCTCTTGAAAGTCAATAAAGAAATCAACTGAAACGGTTTTCTCTCCCTTTTGCTGTAGGAGCACATTTGTGTTTCAGTGGAGGCAGAGTGCTATATTCCAAAGTATTAATTTAAATTTTGCCACAGCTGCTGTCTTTCCTTTTTTGAGAAATGTGAAGCTGAGCAGACCACTCCTAGGGGTCTCACCAGCCGTTAACTTACTCCTTAGTGTGTGCTGGTGTGTTATTGTCATAAGGCAGTCACACAGCCTGTGAAATAAATAGTAAGCAGCAGCATGTTTAAAGTGAAAGTTTGTGAGTGATCATGCGGTACAAGACAGTCTGATTTGGGGATCTAGTGCTGGTTTTGGTCACACTTGGTCTGTTTCATCCCTAAGAGCAACGGTTTATCCCCATTTTGTCAGAGCAGGGTTGTCTGCAGGATGCCCCTGAGACTGCTTATGGCCACAGGGAAGAGCCAAGGCTGACGCTGACAGGGAGAAGAGGGTTAAACTTTGTTGTTCAGCGCTGTCTCTGTGTTGTCCAAGATTAGGGCTATTTGTGTACAGGTGGCGTGGCAGAGCTCCACATTGTATTAAACACTTGTATTTGGGTTATTTACAGTGATGCTCATCACGCATTAGAAGATGCCAGGTGTTTTCTGCCTACTGAAGAAAAGCCATGCCTGCTCAGAGGGCCCTCTTGTTTAGAGTTAGTAAAAGGAACGTGAAGATAGCTGGCACCTTCTGTGTGCATCAGTCCCCATCCCTGGGAGTGGCAGGTTGAAGAAGTGGCTGTTGGCTCTTGACTTTCATGATGAAAAGACAGGAAAGCTTTGGGCAACTTACGAGTGACATGTAAGATCTGGGTCCAAACAAGCAGTAGGGGAACTCAGAGCCATAGTGTGGGAGAGAGAGAGGGTGTGAAGTGAAAGCAGGAGAAGAGCGAGTTCCACGGAGCTCCGAAACTTCAGCTTGAGACTTGTGGAGCCAGGAGAGAGGTTTAGGAGTGCCCAGCAGAAATTAGCAGCCTTAACCTGTAGTCGAAGTCATCTTCAGTATGTCTTGAAAACAGCCTGGAACTGGACAAGGTTTGAAAGTATGGAGGTGTGGAGTAGACGTCTGAGCAGCAGAGATGGAAAGAACATGTGAAGATAGTGAGGGAGCAAACTAGAAGGTCTGAGTGTAGCAGAGCTGTGAAGGACCAGAAGTGAAAAAGAGCTTTGAGACCAGAGGAAAGTAGAGGTGATGTTCATGGCTGCAGGTCAATCAAATTACTACTTTCTTGCCACTGCTTTCCTCTTAGTTTCATCTTCATCTCAACCTGATGCTTCCAGGAGTGTGTTTAACCCCGTGGCCCTTCTGAACTGGAAAAACCCTGGATGTATGTGTGCACTGTTTGGTAGTGTTCAATCTAAAGCTTTGTCAGATTTCAGCTTGCTGTGCAGGGCAGGACATGAGTCCAGTTTCGGATGCTGACATAAAGCAGGAGAAACAGAAAAATTCTGTAATGCTTGTTCTTGGCAAAAGTCTAGAAAAAAGGGCATCTGAATGTCTGCTCTGGAGATGCGTTTCCCATTAACAGTTCA